TAACCTCATTTTAACTATGACTACATTGGATTAAAGTACTTTCCCTTTAGTCACAGACAGTATTTCTTTAGGCTTAACTCTCAGCAAATTCTGCAAGTTCCTAAACTAACTTAGTGCTGCCTCTCCCATTGCTTAAGAATGCCCCCTTCTGTTTATGATTAGGACTTAGACAGGAAGTCTAGCTTGACCCAAGGATCCTGTGTCCCTGGCACTGTTACCAGAGATGCTCCAGGGAGAATTTTTTTCTCCAATATCAACTTTAATGGTTTCATATATTGCCCACAATTAAACTAAATGTATGGGCTACCTATATTTGTGCTGAGTCCCTCTGCTGGGCCCTAGAGACCAGACCAAAATGGACTTAAGCTAAAGTCTCATGTCACTAACCTACACTAAGTTGTTATCAGACATTCCAAGGAATCAAGAGAGAGAAGATAGGATGGCCATATCTCCAAAGAGGCCCATCTTAGCCAGCCCATCAGGAAGCCCTCTCTGCTTTTACCATTACATAGAAAGTAACCTGACATTTACCAATATGGTTTTCTCCCGCTCTTTTTTCTTGGTCTTTATTGTTCTTATTAAAGTACTTAATGACTTCTTTGTGGTCAAGTGATATCTAGATTGTTCCAGGATTTGAGCTCCTGGAGAGCCATGCCTATCTGTCTGTCTGTCTTCTTCTTTTTGATTTTATCTTTTTATTAAAATTGATGCATTATAATTATACATAATAGTGGAATTCATTGTTACATACAACAGGAGAGAATTTTTGAATTTTCTATCTCAGCATATGAAAATTAGGCTGTCCTAATTTTACATCAGAAATTCTTGGTTTTATTTTTATTGCTTAGTTCCTTTGGATGAAATGCATGAGATAATGACGTAAAATCGTACGGAAAGAAAGACTTTGCCTCTATCAAATTAGGTTATTTGTTTGTTTGTTCATTCATTTATTTTGTGCTGGGCCTGAGAATAAGATTGACATAAGTCAGATCAACAGAAAAAAGTCATATGATTTATTTAACACAAACCTTACATAGCCTGGAAATCCTCTAAGGAAAAGGGAGACCCAAAGGATTGAACTATTGTACACTGAATTGGACAGATATGATGTTGCAAAAAAAAAAGTCTCAATTATCTGGGGAGTCTAGAAGAATTATTTCAATAAATTCTGTACAGAATTCCCTCAGCCTCTCAACTTCCTGTCCTTTATGATAAGCATACTTTCCTTCTAGAGTAGGGAGGGCAGCTGTACATGAGAATTTTAAATTCTGCCTTTAAGAAACAGCATGAAGTTCAGAGAGATTGCCTTGCACATGCTGTTTTTCAAGTGCCTTGAACTCAAAACAGTCAATATGCCAGCATGGCACATTTTGGTGTGGCATACTCCTGGCTCCTTCAAAACAAACCTAAGTGTGTGGATTGAAGATAGCATTAGCTTTGGGGGTATTTCCTTGAGTTAACTACTTAAGATGAAATTCCTTACTAGGAGATGAGAATCGTAGAACAAATATTCTGGGAAACAAAACCCCAAAGGCTAAAGCAGGCACTGTCTGAGCCTAAGCACTAGAGGACACATCAGAAAGGTTAATTGAACTCTGGGCCCTTCCTGCTTGGTGTGAATTTTAGGCCATGTCAAAGTAAGATTTGGTCCAGAATTGCCCTGACATCTCAGTGATACTTCAAGGCAATGGTTTATCAATTTCAGCTGCTCTGTAAAATCACATGGAGGTTTCCAAGGATGGTCAGGGCTTACTTTGGGGCAGTCAAATCAGAATCTCTGGGAATAAGAAATAGTACAGGAATTAGAGCTTTTTAAGTGCTCCTCAGATATTTCTATGGGCATCCATGTTTAGAGCAAGTGTTTTCAAACTGTGTTCCGGGGGCCTTAGAGCATTGCTGTAGAAGTGAGGTAGCAGGTAAGGGCTGCCACTCTTCAAGATACTGCATCCAAATTCTTTGATTTACCTCTCATTTTATTTCCATTAAATGTTTCAAAATAAAATATAATGTCACTATAAAAAATAGTGGGAAACACTCCAAAGATATAATAAAGTTTTAAGAGTTTTGACCTTAGCCAAGCCCATCCACTAGAGGTTGAAAGAACTATCTTATCTTCTGGGGAAGAGGAAGGAAGAAAAGCTGTGTTATCAACACATCGGTTCCAAAGAATATGGAAATTGATATAATATTAGTTCATAACTGCATAGTTTTAAAACTGCTATACTTTATGCAGAGGGCTAGTGAAACTTACTCATAGTTAGCCAACTGTTTAAGGAAAAACCCTGATTACTATTTCTTATGTTTCCTCCCATGACACAAATGTCAACAAAACCCCAGGGAGAAATAATCTTGTTCTGTTGAAATCATCAGCATTCATTATTATTGCAGAAGCACATCCTTTTATGTTAAAATCTAGGAATAGAATGTTATTGCAAGGAAACTAGTCAACATTTCATAGGTTGTATGCTCTGACAAAGGATGCATACATTTTGAGGTACTAGTCTTAAATAGAGTCACTTGATATCACCTGAGTTATTACTTTACTGATTTCATCCTGTTCTTTAAAATGATCCAGTAGATATGATTAGGGGAGTTCATTAATTCATCTTACCCCTTTTTGATCTCAGTTTCCATTATGATTTAAAAGTTGTAATGTTTTCTTCCTAGCATTTTCCTATAGATTCAAGAAATTTGGAACTATAAAAAGATACTTGGTCAGACAGAAAGAAAGATGGATTCTAAAATACGTAAAAATCAAAGTTTAGAGAGTATTCTAAATCTTTTGTGAATTTTACACTACTAAAAATTCCTTATTTATAAATTATAATTTTTATCTAAGGAAATAAAAATAAATAAATGGAAAGTTGACCTCATTGATATGGTAGAAGTATAATTTGAGCTTAGCTATTCAAATATCCAGAAACCAAAGGTGACAGGCTGTTCAGGATGGAAGAGTCCAGGGCCCAAGAGAGAGGCCAGGAGACTTGGAGACAGACATCTATTCCCAGAACTTCACTAAGAAGCCAATGACTGGGAATTCATGTGTCACTTGACTGTAAAGCATAAGATGACAGAGTTGAAAGAAATTTTGAGATGTAATTATTCAACATCCTTTATTTTAAAAATGAAAAAACATGCTCTTAAAGGTTAAATGAATACATAAGAATAACAGCAACACGAGGCAGCATAGCATTTGTGTATTGAAAATCAGGCATCAGACAAACTTTGGGACCAGATTTACATTCTGTAATTTAATGATGGCTTCACTCCATTAGCCTTTTTGAACATTAATGTTATTTATAAAAATTGAAACAGTAATAAATCCCTCAAAGTAACTATTAGGAAAATTCTCAAACACAAACAAATATAAAAAAATGCTTTTTTTTTGTATTTCTCATCCAACTTCAAAAGTATCAATATTTGCTAATTTGTTTCATCTTTCAACTCCCTCCTTTTTTAAACTAGGGTATTTTAAGTAAAATTCTTAACATCATGGCAATTTATATATAAACATTTAATATGCAACTCTTATTAATAGGAACTTAACATTTAAAACATAAGCCAGCATGTCATTATAACCTATAACAAAATTAATAATTCTATAAAATCATCTAATACCCATATAATATTCATATTTTATAAAATATCACAAAATTATCACGGTTTTGTTTTTTATTTTTATTTTTTTTGTTATTTTTTATTATTTTATTTTTTTGTTATTTTCACAGTTGTTTGTTTGAAATAGGACACAAATAAAGTCTACATATTGCATTTGGTCAAGTCTCTATATCTTATATATTCTTTTTAATGCCATCAATCTGTGGGGAAAAAAAATCACCTACTGTATTGGTTAGCTTTCTGTCACCATGACAAAATACTTGAGATAAACAACTTACAAGGAGGAAAGGTTCACTTTGGCTCATGGTTTCAGAGGTTTCAATCAATGGTTGCTTGGCTTTGTCACTTTGGGCCTGGGCTGAAGCAGAATATCACGGAGAGAATATGTGGTGAAGCAAAGCTGCTCACCTCATGGCAGCAAAGAGATCAAGAAAGGGACTGGATTCTCAATATCCCCTTCAATGGCACTCCCCTCAATGATCTGACTTTCTTCCACTAGGCCCCCACCTCTCAAGAGTGTCACAGGCTGGTGATCAGGTCTTCAGCACATGGGCCTTTGGGGTACATTTCAAATTCAAACTATAGCACCTGTAAAATAGCATGTTCTATGTCTAGATCTATCTGGTCTTCCTGAGGGTATTAATTACCTTTCTTTCTGCTGCTCATATTTCCTGCAAGCTAATAGTTACATCTAAAACCTAGATTAGCTTCAGGTTAATTTTTTTGGAAACAATATTCGGCAGGTGGTGCTGTGTACTCTAGTCTTGCATCACAAGGCACATAATACCTGGTTGCCATGTTTAGGGATGCTAATATAGATGAGTGTCTTCAAGTTGCACAAGGCCTCACCCCTTCTTGCTTTTATCTCATAGATAAGAATTTATTTTGTTATCTAGATCCATTATGTTATTAGGTGTTACAAAATGTTACTTTTCTAATTCTGAAAATCTCTACAAACAATAAAAGGACCAGCAGTGTTGTTGCATAAAGTTGATACACAAAAAACAAGGCTTTTCAGTGTACTGAGCTAACAATCACTTAGAAGATATGATGGAAAAAAGAAATTATTTACAATAGCAATGAAGAATACCTATAAAGAATGTTTACAAGAAAAATGCAGAACTTATGTATGATAAACATTAAAATATTCCTAAAAGACAAAAAGTATCCTTGGATGATGGGAAAGGCAGCGGAGCACAACAGACACTAGTATGGCAATTTGTAAATCAATGGATGTGTAACTGATGTGAATCTGCAATCTGTGTATGGGGTGAAGGTGGGAGTTCATAACCCACTAGAATCAAAGTGTGGAATATGATATGTCAAGAAATTTGTAATGTTTTGAACAACCCACAATAAAAAATTAAAAAAAAAAAAAAAAAAAAAAAGTATCCTTGAACAAACCAAAAAGCACCTCAATTTCTTGGACAGGTTGATATAGCATAACAAAGATGTCTGCCCCAGTAGACCTGGGGCAGAGCCCAAATTCTAAATTTCTTCTAGCCTTCCCTTCCCAGAATGGTCTGCTCTGTGCACTAGAGTCATCATCCTCATGATGTGGTCACTGAACCAAAAGCAGCAGCATCACCTGAGAACTTGCTAAAAAGGCAGATTCTTTTGCTTCACTACAAATCTACTGAATCAGACATTTTGGAGGTGGAGTTCAGCAATCTGCATTTTAATAAGTCCTCCAGATGATGTTGATATGTGCTAAGTTTAAGAACAACTCTTCTACTCTTGCAGACACATCAGCTAAGATCTTGTTAAACTATGAACTTGATCCAGCAGGTCTGGGATTTTGCATTTCTAGCAAGATCATTCAGGTTGATGCTGCTGATGCTGATGGTCTGAAGACAACATTCTGAGGTACAACACTTAGAGACCAAACTGTTTCCAGCTTACTCAAGGCCAACCTATCCTCTCATCTCCTCCACTCCTATTTTTGTCCCAGATATTAATGACAAATAATAACTTAATGGGTTACCCCTCCCAATGATATGTTTACTTTAAATGGAATTTAACCCACAGCAGTGTTCCTTTCAAACAGAATTTAGCCAGAAATAATTAAAAGTGCATCTCAGGCTTTGGTGGAGCTATTTTGGAGAGGTACCTATTCAGCATTTACTAATCATGCCATACTGCTAAATACTGCTAAATGGAACCTAAAGGAGAAGAAAATATTAAGGAAAAGTCTATGCATAGAGAAAATCTTTGTATAAATCTGTTTATAAATATAATTTGCCTCTATTTTCTTTTTATAAATTCTGATTTTTATTTGTTTGTGTCTGGTTTATCTAAGTTGCTTCATATTGCCCCCAAATTTGGTGTCTTAACATAATGCACATTTATTAAAGTGCATGATTTTCTGGGTCAGAGGTTTGTAGAGAACATAATGGAGATTGCTCTACAAAACCTGCAGCTTCAGCTGTGATAGCTTAAATGTCTGAGGAATGCTGGAATGGTTTGACTAGGGCCTTAGATCTGGAGCCTTTTGTTCCAGCTGTTGGTTAGACTCCCTGCTTCTTCTCCATGTCATTTAAGCTGGGGTTAGAATTTCCACAATGGTCTCTTCATTTGTATGCCTGACACCTAAGCTAGAATGACTGGAACAATGGGGGCTGTTAAGATCTCTTTATGTCTTTCTGTCTTTCTTTCTCTCTTTTTCCATGTGACTAGCTTAGGCATCTTCACATTGACATGGGCTCCAGGTAATTGGACTCTTTCCTCGTGGCTGGAATTTACCAGATTATTGAGCACTGAAAGAGACCAAGAAATAAGCTGTAACAACTTCTTACCAACCCATCTTTACTACTACCATAATAGTATTCTAAATTTTTTGTGAACTTTCCATTACTCAAAATTACTTCTTTATCAATTATAATTTTTATCTAAGAAAATAAAAATAAATAAATGGAAAGTTGACCTCACTTATATGGTAGAAGCATAGATTGAGCTTAGCTATTCCAAATATCTAGAAACTTAGGGTGAGATGGTGGTTGGAAGAGGTAGGGCATAGTGGGAGGTCTTTAAGTTATTGGAGGCATGACCTGGAAGGGGATGGTGGGACCCCATCCCTTCTTCTTCCTCTCTTTTGTTTCCTGCTCATGAGGTAAGTGATTTTGCTCTGCCATATATTTCCCCATGTTGTGCTGCCTTGCCACAGGCCCAAAGCACAATTCATGGATAGGAACTTCTAAAACTATAAGCCAAAATAAATTTTATCCTTTTATACATTGATTTATCTCAGGTATGTGTTATAACAATAGAAACTACTAATTCCTATCTACTAATTTCAACTACTAATAACACAAATTAGTAGTTGAAATCCCTGAAATATGCCATGTGAAAACAGGTAGAAATTCTATGCTACCTAGTGACTTCTGGAGTCTTAACCAGTTCTTATAGGAAATCAGTGGATCACCAGGCCTTGAAATATGATACTGTATGTAAAATTTCATGTTAAATATATACATTTCAGTGGTATATATGTTAAATGTATAACACTTCAAAGGTCCCGAGTAGAAAACCATATGTATATTTTCATTTTAAACATATATATATATATATTGGACACATATGTATTTTGCAATGTGTTACTTAAAGGTATAAGTACATTATATAAAATTATGTAATGATTTGTCTGTCAAGCCTTATTTTTTAAAAAAATCTTTACCAAATGCCTTTTTTCCACTTGCCATTGGATATGTTTATGATAATAGTATCTAAAATTACTAAGTTTATGAGTAAAGTCTGAATAAAATAGGAACTTCACAGAAAAAAAAGGAATCATATATACCTGTACACAACTTATTCATGGAATAAATTAGGAAAAGTAGGTGTTATATATCAATGATTTCTTTCTTATACATATTCCTTTCAGAGTACTCTCTAATTCTTTTCTGTTTTGTAATCGAACAATAATAGTAAGAGAGTGCAAGGCACCCACATTTGTTGCTCTTTGGCTTCAAGAGAAATTAGAAGTTTTAAAATGGAGTCAGCCTCAGCTTGAGGGCTCTTGTCCAGGATGTCTTTCATATGCTTCAGTTCTAGGCCTGAAGGAGACTGTCATAGCACACATCAGTGGGAACCTTCTGGTACACTCTCCATGTATTTAATAGCATGGTGCTTATCCCTCAGTCACTGAAGTGAACCCCTTTCTGGAGGGTCACCCCTGGGCCACTGGTGGCTCTTTGCCTAGAATTGTCTGGGGAATGCTACCGCCTTCCCTGGAACAATGCTTAGCCACAGCTGAAAATCCTGAGCCCATTTTGAGATCAAGCCAAGGCTGGTGGCCCAGAATTCCCTATGGGATTATTTGGCATGAGGCTTCACTTGAAACCACCTTCTTTCTTGTGTCTCTCCTGCTAATAGGTGATTTAATAAATCACTTACACACGGCTTCTTCTGATAGGCACTGCTTCTAAAGAACCCAACTTAAGACAACAAACTGTCTACACTTCTAAAAAGTCTCCCCTACCAAAACCAGTTTATCTCCCCATCTGTGGATACTGGTTCCCTCTGAACACCCAAGAACAGATAACAAATTGCTCTCTCTGTCTCCACCCATTCCCTTCAAGGCTGTTCATAGGACAGATAAGTTTCCTTGGACTTATTTCCCCCCTGAGCAAATTACTGTTCTAAAGGAATTAGGACCGGGAATCAAGATGAGAACCTGACTCATTGTGGGGTGACTTGTTCCACAGTAGGAGGATGAGCTCCTCTGCTACTTATTAAGCTGCCGCGAAGAGTACCCCAGGCTGCTGGCTTGTTACTAGTCAGTTTGGCTATTCTTGAACAAGGCAACCATTGTCATGAACAGGAGCTTTCTGACCTCAGAAAGCCTCTGGGTTGAGGATGACAGAAATATGTTCCAAGTTGACTCCTCAATCTTTAACGTCCTATAAGTAAGCTACTTCTGTACAACTGTTGCTTCCACAAGAGAAATAGACTAGTTCCACCTGCCTTCTCCCAGCTAAGCAGACAATTAAGGGCAGACAAGTCCAAATCGAGAAGGGATATGGAGGAACATTTGTATTTGCTGAGTTTTATCTCTCTTCATTCCAAAACCTCTGCCATCTTTCATCCCTAATCTCTCTCTCTCTCTCTCTCTCTCTCTCTCTCTCTCTCTCTCTCTCTCTCTCTCACACACACACACACACACACACACACATACAAATTGCTACTGCACCTCCAAAATCCAAAGCATATTGCATACAGAAAAAAAAAAACTTATTTTTCCTTCTCCATTCTGACCATCAAGAGTGTGGGTTTTGGGGCTCGGTGGTAGGGCGCTTGCCTAGCATGTGTGAGGCACTGGGTTCGATCCTCAGCACCACATATAAATAAATAAAAAATAAAAATTCATCAACAACTAAAAAATATTTTTTTCTCCCACACTGACCAATTTCCCAACACCAACTGCTTTTCTATAATTCAGTTCATTTCTGACACTAACCGGAGTTAAGTTCAGACCCCCCCCAACAGGTTAAGGGCTCATTCCCACAGTAATTCTCCCCAACTCTAGATGCCAATCACAAGCAGTAGCCTCCCAATCTACCCACAGCTTTGGTCTGACATGGCTACAAATCCCTTTCTCAGGTTCATTTGCTTGCTAGTCATTGGCTTGCTAGAGTGACTATTTTTACAAAAAGGATACAACTCAGGAACAGCCAGATAAAAGTGATGCACAGAGCAAGGTGTGGGTGGGAGGGGTAAGGAGCTTCCATCTCTTTGGGCACGCTTCCTCTAGTCTGCCAGCCAACCCAGAAGCTTTGTCCTTTAGGGGTGATTTATGAAGGCTTCATTATGTAAGCATGATTGATTAAATTAGTGACTGTTGGTAATAAATTCATCCTTTCAGTACCTCTTTACTTCCTAGAGGTATAAGGGTAGTTTCAACCCACTAATAATGGTTGGTTCTTCTGCCAATATCCACCCTCTACTCTGCACTCCAGCATGAGGTCCTCCAGGAGCCAAGAGTCATTTCATTACTATACAAGAAAACACATCCTGGAGAGCATAAGGGTTTTGGAAACTCTGTGCCAGAAACGGGCCTGAAGACAAAATGTACATTTCTTATCATAAATCACAATATCATAGACATGTTCTGGGTCTTCCATTTGCAGGGTTCTCCCCTCAGTTAGTCAGGATGTTTCATGGTAATAAGGAGCTAATATCTAGCCTTCTCAAACTCAGTGATGTAGACAGCCAGTGACACAAGGGATGAGTCACAGTGCAAAATATGGTTCCTCTTCCTTAAGCTCAATTCCACTCAGAGAATTTACATACACACACATACACATACACATGCACATACTAACTATATATATTATATAGTAAAATTCAAATTTGAATTTTTTTTTCTGATACCAGGGATTGAACCCAGAGGTGCTTTACCACTGAGGCACATCCCGAGCCCTTTTAAAAAAACTTTTATTTTTTAAATTTTGAGATAAGGTTTCAATAAGTTGCTTAAGGCCTCTCTAACTTGCTAAGGTTGACTTTGAACTTGTGATCTTTCTTCCTTAGCCTCCCTAGCTCTTGGCATTACAGGTGTGCGCCACCATAACTGGCTAAATTTGAATTGTTTCTAATGAATGTAAAAGTGCAAAACAATTTTATACCAGTACTACTTTGGACAGTGGCCCCAGACCTCTAGTCAGGGCCAATTTGTCCTGCTATGGTCTGAATTCTTGTATCACTCCAAAATTCATATGTCAAAATCCTAATCCCCATGGTGATGACATTAGGAAGTGGGGCCTTTGGTAGGCAACTAGATCATGAGAGCAGAGCCTTCAGCCATGAGATTTGTGCCCTTATAAAAGCTGCTGGAGGGAGCACATTTGCCCTTTCCACTTGTGAGGGCACAGTGAGAAGTCAGCAGTCTGCAGCCTGGAACAGGGCCCTCACCAGAACCTGACCATGATCCTGGCACTCTGATCTCAGAAATCCCAGCCTCTAGAACTGAAAGAAATAAATTTCCATTTTTCTAAAAGCCACCCAGTCTATGGCATTTTGTTACAATATTTCAAATGAACTAAGACATACTCACAGAATAGTAGACACCATGCCCAGGGCCCCACAATACTTGTAGAAGTACATGAAAGTGTTTGTTTTTTTATTTTCTTTTGGGGGGTACCAGGGTTTGAACTCAGGGGCTCTCGACCACTGAGCCTCATATCCAATGCTATTTTGTATTTTGTTTAGAGACAGGGTCTCATTGAGTTGCTTAGTGCCTCACTTTGGGTGAGGCTGGCTTTGAACTCGTGATCCTCCTGTCTCAGTCTCCCAAACCACTGGGATTATAGGCATGCACCACCATGCCCAACATGAAAGTGTTTTTAATTTTAAAATCAGAAAGAAATAAAACAACTTTTAGTGTTCTAATACATAATATCAATATTTTTGAGTATAGAAATTGGTCTGTAAAGGCAGAGAGTGCTTAGGGCCCCTGCTCCAAGAGCATACTTTCAGTATACAGTAAAAACTTGCGGAAAACTCTGAATTTTCAATATCACATTCTTTCGATTAATCATTTTTGAGAACTGAAGTCTTTAAATTCTGAGGTAAAGAATTCCTAATGGTAGAATCTCATACATCTTGAACAGCAGTGGGATGGATTTACGGAACAGGGGCTCCTGCTGACCACACCACAGACCCCACTGTGTAAAGCAGTCTATACTGAAGAGTACTTTGCTTTGGCACAAGCCACCAATTCAGTCCCAGATACCATGACCAATATTTACAAAGAGTGGCAGATCCTCTTGCATGAATCTGTCTACTAAGTCATAAAATCTTAGAACTATGTTTGGTCCTAATAAGCCCAACCCTCCACCAATGCAAAAGTGTGTGTCACCCCTTAGCCCCAATTTGAGCACATCCTGACACTGTCTTCATCTGAGTTTCAAAGCAGTTTCTCTTTGTGTTATTGTCTTGCAAAGAAGGTAGCTGTGAAAAAATGCAGAAACACAAGATGGTTGTGTATATAGCTGGAAGCTTTCTGAATGAACGTACCACTGGGCATTTGGAGCCAGTGATGGTGGATGAGCTACAGAGTTTATTCGGTACCCACGAGGACCATTGTGGTCTCATCGTCCTGGGGGCAGGGTTCCAGACCATCATCCACCACCTTGTGGAGAGTGCTGTAATGTTGCTGGTTTTGGTGGAAAGAATGCAGCTCTGAAGCAGCTTCCCAAGCAGCAAAGGTGGGCAAGGGAAAGTCACTCGGCCTCTTGTTTTCAAAAAAGCATTTCAGGTTCCTCTCACTTAGCTTGGTGGCATAGTCCACAAATGTATTTTCCAACTGCTCCTTCTCCTTTTCCGTATACGTCTTCCAAAAACTCAGCTGCAGATAGCTAACTTGAGATCGGCAGCGTGCATAACAAGTGGTGAGCAGAGAGAAGAAAGATGCTGAACAAATCAGGCACCATCCTAGAATCTTAGGAAGAAAAAAATATGGAGGATATGTAAAAGTAAAATCCATTCTCAGGGAGCTGGGATGGTGTACAGCTAAATTAACCAGGGGGAGCATATAGCTAAGTTGATAAGTCATTACCATACCTCATTTCAAATCATTCATCTTAATTTTAAACACTTTTTGAACAGTCAACATGAAGTTAGAGTTTACCTTATATCTGTTCTCCTACCCAACATCGTTGCCATGCAAAGAAATAACCAAAAGGCCAGCAAATGGAAAAGAATAAAAAGTATGGTTTATCCCAGAATTGGATAAATCAAGTGCCCCCCAAATATTAGCTATTAGAAGGAAAAATTCTATGCATCAGTAATTGTGATCATTTGAACAATGACCAGTTCATTAGTCAGGTGTCTTAAGCATTGATAAATGTGTGTTGTATACATGGTAGAGGCCAATTTTTTACCATGTAACATTGTTTGCAAAGAGCAACAGACACTCTGGAAGAAAAGTCATTACTTACTGCCTGTGGTAAATGGAAGACAGACATAAGAAGGAAACTTTAAAGCCTCTCTAAGTGCCAAGAAAAAAAAATTGGGGTAATTCCAAATTTTGAGGATAATTCATCTGAATTTTGGTAATTAGCAAAAACAAAATTCATACCCTCTCTGATAAGAAGGGTCCCACTATGTTTCTAGTTTTTAAAGCAAGTCTACATATCTCAATGTAAAGCCTAAATATTTCTGTTGTTCAAATTGTTTTCCATAATTGAAATTAATTTTATATTTAATTAACAACTAATAGATCTCTTTGAAATCATCTCAACATTTAATTCAAATGACCCTTAGTATCCCTTAACAGATGGGCTCATTTGAAAATAGAATAAAAATCTGCAAATGAACCCATTTAGAGCAAAACAGAACCACAATAAATTCCATATCAGTGGTTCCCAACCTCTCACTCTCAGATGAGGGATTACTGTAAAGGGTCTCAGCCTCTGCATGAACTCCAGCTCTGCATTGGCCTATTTGGTTTTAAACCCTAGCATTCACCTTGCTATGGATGTTCCCTGTGCCTTGGTTTCCTCAACTGTAAAATGGGGGTTACCCATCTCAGAGGGTATTTGGGGGGATTCAGTGAAAAGATGTTGGACACACAAGTGCATTAGGTATTATCATATGCTATTTTTCGAATGTATATACATTTATAGAAAAGTGTTACTGAACTGATAACATCTTTCTATACTTATGATTAATGAGGTAAAACAACCATCATGTGAAAGTCCTCATATTTACTTCAGTCATTTGTGGACTTGTGGCTTCCTACTTCTTTCCTCTAACTTCCTCTTTCCTTACAACTTAGGCTTCTGAGTTAATTCTAGCTCAGAAACTGTATGATCAGCTTCAGATCCTCATCTTTCTTAGGCTTGACCTTAGCATTGACCTGCTCTCACCTGAGTGCTGAGCACTGGATATTTTTGTCCTTCTCCTCAATTCACAGTATCCACATTTCCAACTACAGTGTGGTAGATACTTCCACCCCAGCCCTTATTAGTGTCCTGTGTTGCATAAGTCTCCTTCCCCAAACCCTGGCAGTTTTCTCAAGAACTTGGAAACCTATGTGTTCTAGAAGCTTTGTGCTAGACCTTCCAACTACAGTCCAATGTAGTTGTTATTATCCCCCATTATGAAAAAACCGGTGCTCAGAGAAGTTGAAACACAAGTTCTATGTCACATAGCTCATGAGTGGGAGCATCAGGATTCAAACCCAAAGCCAGTTAACTCCAAGTCTTGATCCATTCCACTACTCCAGTTGACTGTCCTTAATAATAGAGTCATCCAGCTGGATTTCTTGTTGCTCTGCTCCACCCAGGGATGAATGTACTTTTCCCACTCCCACCCACATGCCCAATTATTGGTCTGAACTGTATGTTGCCTTTTGCCTATCTGAACCTCATGGTCAGCACCTGCTATTGCCACAACTCCCTGTGTCCACATCTCTGGGGCATCTTCCCATAGGAATCAGCCCCAGGTCTTTCTCATTCTGCTGAAAAGTCAACATGTCATTGTGCCCAGTCTCAGCTATGACAGGATGTGCATGATTTCCTTGTGCCTGTGTTTAGAGAAGAAAAGCTTACACAGTGATAAGTGTTTGGACCTGGCACTGACTGAATGGAGCCTGGTGCCTGAGGACATAAACCATAAATCATTCATTCTGCCATAACATTCGTAATTAATACCTTCCTTCAACAAAAGATGGAAGACATTTGGGAGCCTGACATGTTTTATCTAAGATGTACTTTATGTTCTAAACAAAAGATTTTGTTTGAGGTATTTTTTTGGCTTATCAGTTTATAAAGAAAGTATAACTTTACTGCCAACCAGCTTTGGAAAATATGATTTTAAGAACAGAGTTTGCTGTTTGTGTTGTAAAGGCAAATCTTTGTCAAAAAAGCAAAATCATACTCTTTTCAGTACATTTATTCTGAAACAAACAGTATTCCTGCCAAATTGTAGACAGTAGACAAATCTTTTTGTCTACTGCTTATTTTGGTTTGGGGAATGCATTTCCTACTACTCACATTCTTTTCCTAAAGCCAGGGAAGGGCTGTACATCTGGATTTATGTTCATATACCTGGACAGATGGTAGCTACTTCCCTGCATCAATTGGGTGAAGCTACAATTTTCTTCCACTAAATAAAACAAAATTCCACATCTTGAGCTTCTAAAGAAATGCAAGAACTTTTTTAGCTGTATGACACAAAGAGTAAAAGACATAATCTCCATTGAGAATATGGTCAGTTTTCACTATTTAAGACTTCAGAGTCCTACGTTGTATAGAAAATTCTTCTCAATCTTGACAATATCTTTACATGGAAATAGCAATCACCAGAATCACTCAAGTGAATCCCTACACTAATTATATTGCATACAACTTTAAAAAGTAGTAGCTCATTTGGTTCAGCTGTATTTTAATAGATGGATAAGCTGTGCTTATGTTTCAAGAAAGCAGAGAATGAATATTTGATAGGAGATAGTAATTTTTAATTACTATTCAGCCATTAACACTCAGTTTGTGATTTGGTGTTATGCATTATTTACAAAGTCATCCCAGAGAGATTGCTTTAAAGTACTTAAGCATTTACATATACATAACCCAGAGGATATTTTCTTTTTGGAAATGGAAAAGATATAATCCAATCAGCAATTTTACTGAGCCATCCAACTTCTAAAAAGCTTTTCCTGAGATTGTCTTACTGCTGCATCATGTTCCAATTTCCATTTAGTTTCAAAATATTCTGGCAGAACTCAGACTCCACCCTGGCTGAAAGGAGGACAGAGAATACTTCAAGCTCATGCGGGGAGAAACAGGCGAGTTTGTTCTTACCTGAGACTGGGCTTGAAGGGACAGTTTCACTTCTTCATTCTCCATGGGTAGCATGCTAGTTTTGTCACAAGACACTTTGTATAGTTCTTCCCAGCACTCCTTGGGCTTGCCCTGGCAAATCAGTCCCAGGAGTCTTGAACTTTTCGTCCCACTCATGGCACATTCATAAAAAGTTCCATTAAGCAAAGCCACAGAGAGCCACATCACTGGAGCCACCAATGAACTCAGAGTGATCTGGCCCAGGACATAGAAGAAGCGGTAGCTGTGACCCCTAGGGAAGATTTTCCTGGGGTTCACACAGCAACCTGTGAAGAGTTTCCATGCTTTGTTGTTCACAAAGAATCCTAGGATCAGTAACACCCAGGCAGGAGCAAAAAGGAAAACCAACCCATAGACCGTATTCTCAGAGCTGCAGGGGCACTTAAAAGCCACAAGTGAAAAGAGACGCTCACCTCCCAAGGTCAGTAAAGCCATGAAGCTGTAGCCAATAGCAGTTTTCTGGTTAAGAAAGAATTTTAACATGCTCTGAAAAGCATCCATGTTGGTACACAAAGAGGGAAAATGCTTTGCCCTTGCTATTGACTCCGCAGCTGTGGCAGTGGCCGAGGGTGGAGCTCTTTCTTCATTAGAAACAACAGTCCTCCTTCTCAGGCTGAATTCAGCCAGATAAGGAAACAATGTCATTCCCTAGGAATGCATATTTCCCAACAGTGTTCAGATAATGCCTCCTACTGGTGGATATTGGGCCATGGAAGGGCAGCCTAAACAGAGGGATTTAGAATATAATTCAAAGTGCACAAGCTTCCTTTTAATATTATTTCCATGTGGCTTAGATTGAAAATCAGAAGGAAGTTCTGGCTAAGATGTACAATAGTCTAGAAACTTTCCAACAGGATGAATCAACACTAGCAGAAATGGGTTTCTGCCATTTGATGGGGAGCCAAATCCAATGTCCAAACACAGAATTTCACCATGGTCTGTCTGTCTCTCTCTTTCTTTCTTTCTTCCTTCTTTTTCTTTTTTTCCTCTTACTATATGGCTTAAGATTTGGAAGACAGGAATTCATTTTATGTCTTCTTAAAACTGCACAGTTTAGAGACTTGAGCCATATCTTAGGATTTGGAATATTTAACCTATGTGGAAAAGCTTAGGGAGAGTTTGAGTTTTAAAGAAAAAACAAAACAAGAGGGGTCTTCATCATTACTTCTTTTTGGGGGAGGGGGTATTTGTTATCGAAGTCAGGGGCACTCAACCACTGAGACACATCCCCAGTCCTATTTTATATTTTATTTGGAGACAGGGTCTCATTGAGTTGCTTGGTGCCTTGTTTTTGCTGAGGCTCTCTTTGAACTTCAATCCTCCTGCCTCAGCCTCCTGAGCTGCTAGGATTACAGGCATGTGCCATTGAACCTAGCTGATCATCACTTCTTTCCTAAGTCATCATGGTAACCTCTAGATTAGTATCTCTCCTTTTGACTTTATGCCCATCCCACCCATAACCCTAAATCCATCCTACATACTGATGTGAAAGAGATCCCTCTAAAACAGAAATCCAATGCTGCATAGCTTTTTCACATCTTTAGGGATCCCACTGCCCACAGATTGAGAGATACGGACCTCCCTTGAACCTCATCATGACACCTCATGCCAGGACATATTCCTGCTACCTAGAGTATAATAGAGTGGCCCCTCTCCCCACCCCACCTCATCTGCCTGACAAAACTCACTTATACTCCTATATTCCAGTTCTAAATATGGTGTCAAACTTAGATCAGATGCTCATCCAATAATTTATTTTGAAAATGGCTATTGAACTCCCACTGTGTGCCAGGCACTGTGCTAGACTGGCTGTGCTCAGTAAGTACCTATTGAATGAATGAATAAACTTCTAAGTACTTCAAATTAGAAATAATTTAAGAAAATAATTTGTATTTCTATCCTGTATACTGCTCTTGATTTAAAAATCAAATCAAGGGATTTGGAATATTTAGCTTATATATTTAATATTTAAATTAAATCAAGTCATTTGAAAAATGACAACACATCGAACTAATAAATTTCCATTAATAAACTTTAGAACCCAGGCCTATGTGTTTTGTGAAAAGAAATTGCCTTGGACTAGAAACCAAACAATTAAGTTATACTGAGGTCTTAGTGTGTCATTTTACTTCTCTCCAGTATACTCATTTGTGAAACTAGGGGTTTAAAGAAACAGTCTCTAAAATATCTTCCATTTTTATATTATAAAATTCTTCATGTCCTATGAAACAATTTTATTTATTTATTTATTTATTTGTTTGTTTGTTTTTATTAGTTACACAACAGTACAATGATCTTGACATATCATACATTTGAATCCAATGGGGTATAATTTCTCATTTTTCTGGGGGTACAGGTTACAGAATCACATTGGTTATACAGTAACATATAAACAATTTTTGAGAATAACATTGTCACTCATTTACGTTTTTCTCATCCCACCACTATCCCTTTCTCCTTCTCAGAGACTTGTTATCTACAGTAATATAATTTCCTCTCCAACCCCAAATACACCTTGGCTTTAATCTGCCCTCGGCATCTGTTGCTCTGACCATGACCTTCCTATTGTGGCAGATATGTCCTAGATACCTTCTAATTCAGGATCCTATCATTTTCTATGATCAGTGTGCCAAACACCATGTTAATATGTTTACAGTGAATAGTATTTTAGTTTCTTACCCTCCTAGAGGATATACATATTTTTAAAAAACATTATTGAAAATAAAGCTATGTAATTTTCACGGAAACTTGTCCCTTAGGATGTTCCATAAAACAAAAGGATTTTACATTTTCACATGGCATAGAGTCAAAAATTGCAAAACTAAGTTGAACCCAAATGTCCTATGCTTAACCCTTGTGCTATAACACCTATAATCAGGTATTTGGTTGTCCTAATACATATCTGTTCTAGACCAAGTGGCAATAATTTATTTTTCTCTTTATTAGGTCGCTTTCAAGATGTACTTGGGAATTACACCAAGTGTCACCTGTAACAATGCAAGCAGAAATGAGTTTTCCCTGATTCTAGACAAGAATCCTCTGGCGGAGTTTGTGGAAGAGCTCCCTGCTGGGCGATCTTCTTTGTGCTACTGCAATTTACTCTGTGGGGTTATCCGAGGTGCCCTGGAAATGGTAAAGCACATACTTCATGTTGCCAGGTGTATTAGTTATCTAGTGCTGTGTAACAAATTGCCTCAAAATATAGCTATAGCAACTTAAAATAACACCTTATAATCTCACACAGTTTCTAAGCATCAGAAACCTGGAAGCAGCTGAGCTGAGGTTGTTGTGGCTCCAAATTCTTCACAGCTTAACACAATGCATTCAAGCTGTTGACCAGGGCTACAGCCCCTGAAGACTTAGCTGAAACTGGAAATTCTATTCCCAAGCTCTCTCAGATAGCCTCAGGGCCTTACTGGCCATTGGCTCTGGGCTTCCTGAAGGCACTTGTCACATTAGACATCTCTGTAGATCTAATCACAACAGGCAGCATGTGTAGCCACCCACCACCCATGGTGCAACATGGGAGGATACCACCTGAGGGCATAAGTACCAGGAGGTGGGGATCCTTGCCGGCCATTTTGGAGGCTGATTGCCACACCTGAATTTGAATTTTTCATTGGTTTAACTGAGACACCTAGTAGCATCTATTAAGTGTCAGGCACTGAACATGCAAATAGGAATAAGATACCAATGCTGCCCTTAAATTTTTTTCTGTACAGTAGAAAAGTTGTAAGTGTATAGAAGTGTGGTAAAGGGCTATAGGAGAATATGGGGCAGGAGAAACTTTCTGGACTTCTGAGCCAGCTTTTGAAGAAAAAATTGGAGCCAAGTGAAGCTTCTGGGTAAGGAGAGCAGGGGAAAATAATATTCCAGGCAAAGAATCAAAATGTGCAGAGGCTCAAGAGATTGTTTCTTTCAAAGAACAAGGAGTTATCTCTGTATGACTGACATGAGGAGTCAGACAGAGATTGTCATAAGAAGCCGGATAAAAGAAAGGAATTCAAACCTTTACGTGGAAAATATCAGAGAGCCAGCATAGGTTTACAAACAAGGAAAAGATACTTTGAAATTTTTGTTTTAGGAATTTCATTCCCTTGTCAACCACAGAGCATGCACAAGAGGGAATACTTGGGGGGAGGGAGATGAACAGGAAGCGGATGATGATACCATTAAGTAAACCTGGAGAAAGCCTGCCAGTGGTGATGTAAATGAGAAGACCCAAGAGAACAATATTATGAAGGTAGGGCAGGTAAGATGAGATTGTCAATTGGCTGAAAGGGACAAGATTAAGAAAAATGATTTAAGAATGGCTTTTAGATTTCAGGATAACCTGCAGGGAAGATTGAAAAGAAAGCAAAACCAGGAGGAGTACTTTTGAGGTTGGAAGATACAAAGTGAGGAGATCAGTTTTGATCATGCTGGGATTGAGGTGGCTAACATACAGTGAGGACATTCGGGAAGAAGTTGTTTATGTGTGTCTGGGGCTTACAGAGAGATGTGGCCCATAAGAGGTATGGAAACTGGCAAATGATGCCCAGGGAGGGCTGTGGAGCAAGAAGAAAAGGGAGCCACAAAATAACTCTAGGAAATAGCCAAATATAATGAGTAAATTACATAGAGAACACAAGGACCCAAAGGACGTAAAGGAGTAACCAGAGGTAGGAAAATAACAGGAAAAACAGAGTAACAAAGACAAGGGGAGAAGTATCTTCCAGAAAAGAGAGAAGTGAACAAGATCAAGTTCATCACAGAGGTTAAGTAAAACAAGACCTGAAAAAAGAGTCACACCATTAAATGGAAGATCAGAGAGGCCTTGGTAAAAGCTGTTTTGGAAAAGTGTAGGGAGAAGAAGACAATCTGTTATAGACTGATAAGTCAATGAGAGCTTAGGAAGAGGGATCAGTCAACAAAGTGTAACTTTTCCAAAAGCTTCTCTATTAAGAATGGTGGGGCCAGGTAGTGATCAAAGACTAGACATGTGTTGACCCATGAGCCATGCATGCAATTTTTAATTATTTTTGATAATTATGGGAAGGATAAAGTAAGAGGTGATCCAAAAGCATAAAATAATAGAAATAGTGTGTTCTTTTAGGCTTATCCTGTATCATCAATAGCGATGATACCAGGAAAGGGAGAAGGAAAGTTCTGGGAGTTTACAGGCAAAGGAAGAAACCACAAAACTAAATCAAAGTAAGATAAAGAAGTTTTCAGCTTTCATGGATGACAGTTAATTATTATGCTGAAAGAGAGATAAATATCAGACATCATTATGACCCCAAATACCCAAAGAGCTTCAACATAGTCTCCTTATTTTAGTTGATTTTATGTTAAAATTTGACAAAGGCATGAAAAATCTTATGGGGGAAAAAAAACCTAGAAGGTAAATTTAGCTTTTGTATTTGAAAGTGCAATCTACATTCTTCTGTTACCTGGTAGGCACCACAAGGTCCATGTACTCTGTAAACCAGATTATTTATGGAAGTCTGTGGTTGAAAAATCCAGTCTGATAAGCTTAGGCATTCTTAGTGAGAGATTTGATCAGATAAGTTTCAATAAATATTAATCAATTGTCTGCTAGACTCAGGCATTTTTCATTTATTGTGTTCTTTTACTAGGTACTTTCACTTATTTATCCCAATGACTTAAAATAACTCTGGACAAATACTCTATTGAGGGTGGGTCAGCAATATCAGGCTGCTTTTATTTTGAATACAATTTAATGAATAGAGAAGTAATTCCTGAGGCTCTCTTCAGCGCCTAGAAAATGGGAAATGCTTTAGAAAGGAAAAAAAGTCCTGAACATCAAATATTCATGTCTATAATTTCAATATCTTTAATTTTATATGTATAATTTATTTAGTTGATATTTTTTTCAAAGCTCTCAAAGCCATAAGTGATTGCTAAATGTTATTAGTATAAGTGATTATGTTGTTTTGCTAATGACAGAGTGATTTATGGTAAATCAGTTTGAAAGGAATCCTTTAAGAATCCATTTATCCTTGGAAGTTCTGCTTGGCCAAGCACATCGAGTCAGGGCTATATTTGAGTAGGGAATTTGAGTTCTATGTGAGATGAATCCATAGTTCAGCCCTGCTCTGTGAACATAGCTGGGCATGTCCCATGCATTTGGGCATCCTAGCCATCCAAGCTGGGCCAGGCGTGGCCTACTCCTGTCTCAGCTGATTCACACCACAGAGGTGATATGTGACCAAACTGTCTCTGGAGGACAGTCAGGGCTCTTCAAACCTAGAACAAGTTCTTTTTTATGTTTCCACACAGAAAGTAAAGAAAGCTGAAAAAATAGATTGAGAAAAATTTAGAGATCTTTTTTATAATTGAACAGGCCTATTTTTTTCTTCTTTTTTTCTAGGTTCATTTGTCTGCTGATGTTTCATTCTTGCAAGACAGACTAAAAGGTGACAGAGTGACAGAAATAGGAATAACATTTCTGAAAAAGCTAGACGAGAAAAAATATAGACGGAAAAAATGAAGAATAATGTGCAAAATGTGACAGAGTGGCTAGTTGAGGAGTGAATATTAGTGAAACACATACGGCTTCAGAAATTTTGAATTGCTTTATAGCATGAGCTTTGAAAGGCTTATAAATCAACCAGAAATTTAAAATGCAGAGCATGTGGATTTTCTTTTTCATATTTTCAACCTCACATTCATAGTAGTTCATATACAGATAACTTTCTGCGATGAATTCTGTATATTACACAGTCCATCCTCAAGGAGTCTATTCATTTCATTAATAGGAGAAAAAAGGCACCACCTATAGAAACAGTGTATTATCTCTTTTTAGTAGGACAATGGATGATTTGATAGAGCATAGAGTTCATTATAGAGAGACAGTTTCTAGGTACTGTATATTACATTCTCCAGAGAAATAGTTCCACTTGTAACACTTTTCCATATTTTCAAGAAATTATGGATTTCATATTTCTTATATATTATCATATAGCTTTAACTTCCTGAAGCTACTCTTGAATTGTAACCACCAAAACAAGTTATTGATTTGTATGCCAATTCAGAATCATTTAAAAATAGCATTTAATTTTTATTCACTTAGCTAGAATTAACAAAACCCCTTCATTTTTTTCATGTACTAATGACAACCAGTCAGGAAATCTCTAAAAATGAATGGTAAATAATGTTCTTTGAAGAACACTTTCTAACTCCAAAGTTTATTTACTTTGAATTTTTACTATCATTTTTAATCCCCTAAAAATCTTCCAAAGAATATTTTGTCTGTGGTCAGAACATATTTAAAATTCAAAATGAACCGCATTGTTAAATAGACAGTAATCTTTGCCAGACCATCAGTACACAAGAGCAGCCTTGAACACAGCCCAGAAATTAGTACTGCAGAGAACTCAGAGTACAAGTAAAAGTTATTATTAGCAGGGCTCCATGAATTAAAACTTGGGTCTGGTAGTGATAGAGGTCAGCTAGGACTTGAGGAGCCTGATGATCCAATCCCAATTGTGTTTCCAGTGGCATCAGCTAATCCTGACTAGTGTGGCTAATCCTGGGCAACACACCTCTCTCCTTTCCTCCCACCCTTTAAACATGAGGGGATTGGATATGATAAATATCTAAAAAAAAATCAGTGTGTTTAAATGATAAAAATGACCTCTGAAATTCCACATTTGGAGATATTAAAAGATCATAAGAAAACTGTTTATTCCTCATCTATCAGTTGTCTCTTTGAAGGCTACTGAGGTAGACCCAAAGGACCAGAGAGGGTCCCTGAGGCAGCTGCAGCATCATGGAAAGTCCTTCAGGTCTGTGGCACAGAAGATGAGTATAATCTTGAAGAAGATGTTAACTATCAGAAGGATATTATTTCACGTATTTTAAGTTCATGCCTCCAACAGAATGCTAGCCTGCAATCCATCTCAAAGCTTCTTTTTAGGATTTCCCCACTTTCTGTTCCATTACCTCTTTTTTCTTTACAGTACACTTATCCCTCTAGGAACCCATGGAGACCAATGTTTAAGAAAGTCCTTCTTAAATCAGCACTCAACTAGCTCTATGCCTGGAGTATTCTCCTATCTCTCTATACCTTCCCTCCTTTTTTCTCCCAATCCAGCTATTAAAATCCATACCCAGAAGATGACTTAATCTTTTATTCTCAGTGAAGCCGAGTATTTCAACTAGCAATGGTTTTAGGATAAAGTTTGTTTATCCTGGAATATCCTTTGTGTTTCTCACCTGGTGGGAAGGGAGTCTCTTGGCATCAAATTTATGCTACAAAAGGTAACCTAATACCCAAGAGAATGACTTGTTTGCATTTAATGTGTGTTCTAACCTGAGGAAAGTGAGAAGCTAGAAAGTGCTGCCCATTTGAATTATGAGCCACTAATTTTAAATTTTCTAAAAGTCACATTAAAGAACAGGTGACATTAATTTTAGTAATATATTTCATTTCTACTACTTATCCTAAATATTATTATTTCAACATGGGCATTTTACATTTTTTATACTCATCTTTGAATGTCAGTATGTATTTTATGGCTTTTAGTACATCTGAAATCAATGGTAAATTCTCAAAGATTAAAGAGAAATGTCCTTTCAAAACAATGAAGTTGTGATTAGTGGTGGTTAGTAGCTTTAGTTTTTATATCAAAATTAATTGAAATAAATTCAAAATTCAGTCACTCTTGTCACATTTTAATAGCCAAATATGTCCAGCTGCTACTATGGACAGCAATGGTCTAGAATTCCCAATCAAACGATCTTTAAATCTCCTTCATCTTTGATGCAAAGAAAGAATCTGGAGGATCCAGGATTATGGAAAGGAAGAGAGGAGATGGGCAGACCTGAGAGAAGCTAAGGAAAACCAGCATAAAGAAACTGTCAGACATCCATGGAATGGTCTCTCTCCACTGAGCTGTGACCCAGAGAAACAATAAACAAAGATAGCACATCATCCCTGGGCTCTAATTGTGTTTTCATTGCTATTGTGTAAAGTTGGGTCTCTCTGATAGAGGGTTTGAGGAAATTATTCAGCATAACTATGAAGTGATGTCATATTTTCATTTCACAAAAGCCTTCAATTTGGACCTAAAATCTTGATCAAAGCAGAGATTTTTATCATCTTGGCAAAACAAAAAGAGGAAGAAATGTGTGGGGCAGATAGAAAGAGAGAGAGAAAGAGAGAGACTAGTGCCTTCAAATGACACCCTCAGACTGCTGCCCAAGGTGTTTCTGAGAAGGCCAGCCTTGGTTGCCTGTTCACTGTTACAGTTGCCAGGAATCAGAGATGCTTCCCTCAGCATTCCGTGCACTTATTTATTGTCTTCTCAAACTTCTCAGTTTCATCCATTAGTTATTAGAAGCCTGAATCTTTTCAGCAGTTGGAATGGACTATTATGAATAAATGGAAAGTTCCCTCTTTTCCTTGATAGAGACCAAAGAAGAAATGTAGAAAACCAAATGCTTAAAGTGAAGGAAATATTTCAAAATTTTAAACCAAAGACACTATTTTAACTAAGATTTGCTAAATATTAACTGAAGTAATAAACGCTGAAAGAAGCGATGTTATCCATTGGTAAGGGACCCTCCAGTGGGGACTGTAGACCCTCTGCAGTCCTTATGTTTCACAGCTTCATCTACCACCTGGAAAATTTGCATGATAAAAGGTCCCATATTCTTCTTCTTTCAAAAGAGGGCCAAAGTTTGTTTATTTGCATGATAAAAGGTCCCATATTCTTCTTCTTTCAAAAGAGGGCCAAAGTTTGTTTATTATGCTTAGTTGTATATTCTTTGAAAGATTTGTCCAGTTGCTACACTTCCTCATTCTGGTGAACTTTCCAGGATTTTATCTGGGTGTGAACAGCAGTCAACCAACAGTGTCTAGAGCAAACCATCAGTAGAGAGAAGAGCACCTCAGTCTGTTCTCTGGGAAGGAAACAACCAGTTCAGATCCAATCAGCAAGTATCACCCTAAAATTGAAAACAAGTAACAGTCACAATAATCAGTGAGATTTTATTTTCAAGTATTTCACTAGAGAGAAGGAACTAAACCTAACAAATCAAAAATTGTAAAGCCTTCACTTGAAACAGTTAAGAAATAGATATCCTGGTGTAGTTACTGGTTATCCCTTAAAATCAGATTCTCTTTTTCCCAATTAAATCTTTCATTGCTTTTCTTCCTCTGTTTCTTTTATCCTCCACTTTTTTTTTCTAGAAGTCCTGTTGCCAATTACATACTTTTTTCTTCCAAGGAATCTTCCTGAAACTTAAGTTTCTTTCTCTCCCCCACCCCCTCTTTAGTGCTGACAATCAAACCCAGGACCTTCTGTACTCTAGGCAAATGCTATACTACTGAGCTATGTCCCCAGCCTCTTTCCTTTAAAAACTACCTTTCATGAAATATACTTTTGTTGACTTGCTATGTCTTTCCCCCTCCTAATAAAATGACATTTTTCTGTTTGGATGTTCATCATTTCAATTAGGCAACACATCTACTTCAGGAGAAGTCCGCTTTATACCCACTTTGTTGCTACTACCTAAGCATAGGGTCTCATTTCCAGTTTAAAAACACTCCTGTGAAAGTCATAATCTACATATGGTATCCCCAGACCACAGTCATTGGTTCTGGCATGTTAATTTTATTTTTTTAAATACACAACAGTGGAATGCATTACAATTCTTATTACATATATAGAGTACAATTTTTCATATCTTTGTATAGAGTAGGTTCATGCCAATTCATGGCTCTATACATGTATCCTTTTTTTGCATTACAATTCTTATTACACAAATATACTACAATTTTTCATATCTCTGTTTACATATAAAGTATGTTGACACCCAATTCAATTCTTCATACATGTACTTTGGATAATGATGTCCATCACATTCCACCGCCCTTGCTAATCCCCTGCCCCTCCCTTCCCTATCTAGAATTCATCTAATCGTCCCATGCTCCCCCTCCCTGCCCCATTTGAATCAGCCACCTCATATCAGAGAAAACATTTGCCATTTGTTTTTTTGAGATTGGCTAACTTCACTTAGCATTATCTTCTCCAACACCATCCATTTACCTGCAAACGCCATGATTTTATTCTCTTTTAATGCTGAGTAAAATTCCACTGTGTATATATGCCACATTTTTTTTTAATTCATTCATCCACTGAAGGACATCTAGGTTGGTTCCACAGTTTAGCTATTGTGAATTGTGCTGCTATAAACATTGATGTGGAGCATGCTACAGGGACACTGCTACATCGATGTTCATAGCAGCACAATTCACAATGGCAAGACTGTGGAACCAACCTGGATGCCCTTCAATAGACAAATGGATAAAAAAAAATGTGGCATTTATACACAATGGAGTATTACTCTGCATTAAAAAATGACAAAATCATAGAATTTGCAGGGAAATGGACTGCATTAGAGCAGATTATGCTAAGTGAAGCTAGCCAATCCCTAAAAAACAAATGCCAAATGTCTTCTTTGATATAAGGAGAGTAACTAAGATCAGAGTAGGGACGAAGAGCAGGAGAAGAAGATTAACATTTAACAGGGTTGAGAGGTGGGAGGGAAAGGAAGAGAGAAGGGAAATTGCATGGAAATGGAAGGAGACCCTCAGGGTTATACAGTGGAGGGGGTAGAGAGAGAGGAGGGGAGGGGAGGGGAGGGGAGAGGTGGGGAGGGGGGAGGGTGGAGGATGGGAAAGGCAGCGGAGCACAACAGACACTAGTATGGCAATATGTAAATCAATGGATGTGTAACTGATGTGATTCTGCAATCTGTGTATGGGGTGAAGGTGGGAGTTCATAACCCACTTGAATCAAAGTGTGGAATATGATATGTCAAGAAATCTGTAATGTTTTGAACAACCAACAATAAAAAATTAAAAAACAAAACATTGATGTGGCTGTGTCCCTGTAGTATGCTGTTTTTAAGTCCTTTGGGTATAGTCCTAGGAGAGGGATAGCTGGGTCAAATGGTGGTTCCATTCCCAGATTTCCAAGGAATCTCCATACTGCTTTCCATATTTGCTGTACCAATTTGCAGTCCCACCAGCAGTGTATAAGTGTACATTTTTCCCCACATCCTCGCCAACACTTATTGTTGTTTGTCTTCATAATAGCTGCCATCTGACTGGAGTGAGATGATATCTTAGAGTAGTTTTAATTTGCATTTTTTCATATATTTGTTGATTGATTGTATATCCTCTTCTGAGAAGTGTCTATTCAGGTCTGTTTCTTATTCTAAGACTATGGACAGTGTCTCTCGTATGTGGCTCTGGTTTCTGCTGACATAGGAGGAGGATAGGACAAATGGATGAAGAGGGAAAAAGCCTGCCCTATCTCTAGAATTTCATTTACACAAGCCAATAAATTTACTGTATTCTTTACAAGAACAGGATTCATATTTTGTTACCAACTAGCCATCAACAGGATCTAAAGTAATGCATTTTCCAAATCTCCCATTCCTTTTATTAGCAATGAAATAAAGCCTGTTTCATAATATCTGATAGGTCAAAATTCTCTGATTTCAGGAGCTGCCCAATGATATAAATCTTTCAAACCAGCAGACTGCATTTAGGGACTTATTATTTTAGGGAAGTATGTGAATCACACAGATTTTGTTGACTTTGAAGGTAAAATCCTAATTCCCAGTGATACATATCAAGTAATAGAAAAACCTGGAAATGCTGGTTTCTTTTATTTGTGTCCAATTAACATTTTTAGCAGGTGCTTGGTACATGTATTATATCATTTAATTCTCACAGCAGTTTATGAGGCATTAAGTTTGTAGCAGAAAGGAGAGGGTTGGCTATGAACCTACAAAATAACTTAATTTTCCAGTGCCTTACATGTATTAAGATGTGAGGCTAGTGGGTAAAGGGAGATGGAAATGGCTCCCAAGAATTCAACCTGGAGGATTAATGAATAAGGGACCATCGCGGGAGCAGCCAGCATAGGAAAGATGCTAGTTAGCCCTGAGTATTTTGAGTTTACAGTGGCTTTGAAACATTCAAAAACTACCAGGAGCTCAGAAGAGGGAGTTGAACTGAAAATGGACTTTGAAGTCATCATTACACAGATCATGGATGTGGATGGCAACACTGAGAAGAGTATAGACTTGAGAAAACACAAGGGGCAGAGATAGAATTTTGAGACTCACCATTGTTCACGAGGCAACAGGGGAGAAGAACACCAAGGAGGCCAACTTTTCAGTCAGAAACATAGAGGGGAGAAACTCGGGGCATGAAGCCAGGTTTCAAAGGAAATAGAGCAGGCAGAGGTGTTAGATGCCACAGAAAAGCCAAGAAAGTTAAGCCAGTAAAGGGGTTTGGAATTTGCATTGAGAAGGTCTTTGGTTCAGAGCAATTTAGGGCAGTGGCAGTGGCAGAGCCTTCATTATGGTGGACTAAGGAGACCATGGGAGCTGAGACACTGTGTAATGGTGATTCTTTTGAGGAACTTGATCATAAAAGGAAAGAGGATATTCAGTGCAAAGGTGTGCTATTTGATTTTTTAATTTTATTTTTTAAGAATGCATCTGTTTTAGTCAGCTTTTTCTCTGTTGCAACTAAATGACCTGACAAGAACAATTTTATGAGGAAAAGTTTATTTGAGGGCTCATGGTTTCAGAGGTTTCAGTCCATAGTCAGCTGGCTCCATTCCTCGGGGTTTGAGATGAAGCAGAATATTGTAGCAGAAGAGTGTGGTAGAAGAAACCAGCTCACATGATAATCAAAAAGCAGATACAAAATATATACCCCAAAGGCACACCCCCAGGGACCCACCTTCTCCAGCCACACCCCACCCACCTTCAGTTACCACTGAGGTAACCCCTGTCAGGGTTTTAATTCACTGATTGGGGTAAGGCTTGCATAACCTAATCATTTTTCCTCTAAACCGTTTTTTATTGTCTCATGTGTGAGCTTTTGGGGGACACCTCACATCCAACATAATAGTGTCCTTTGAAAACACAGGAGGGAGGGAATAACTGATGATGCAAAGTCATGAGAAGTGGATATGCGAAAGATCTGGACCACAGGGGAAGAGTCTGACTCAGAACTGCTCGATTACTCCTTCCTCTGAGAAGTTGAGTGAGCAGAGAGCGGGATGGGATGAGAAGTTTTAGAAGACCTTGATCCCATTCGTGACCATTGACCTCAATCTTCCCCGAGAAGCAAGATTCAAGTTCTTTGTGAAGAAGGGGGTAGGCAGAGGCTGTTATACTTCCTGCTGTGGAGCTTTGTCCATACCCTTAGCTAATAATCCTTAAAGTAGCAAATAACCTGCCTTCAGATTGAATGATCATGCTCAGGGAGAAAATG